GCATATACATACAATGGAATATTACTCAGCCATACAAAATGAAATTTTGCCTTTTGTAATGACTTGACTGGAGCTAGAGAGTATTATACTAAGTGAAATAAATCAGAGAAAGACAAATACCATATGATTTCACTCATATGTGGAATTTAAGAAACAAAACAAATGAGTGGAGAGAAAGAAAAAAAGAGAGATAATCCAAGAAACAGACTCTTAACTATAGAGAACAAACTGATGGAGGGAGATGGGTGGGCAGGTGGTTGAAACAGGTGATGGGGATTAAGGAGTGCACTTGTGATAAGCACCGGGTTTTATATGGAACTGTTGAATCATTATATTGTACAGCTGAAATTAATATTACATTCTGTTAACTGGAATGGAAATGACTTAAAAAAATACCCAAAGGAAAAAAGAGACAAACCAAGAAACAGGCTCTTAACTATAGAGAGCAAACTGATGATTACCAGATGGAGGTGGGTGATTACCAGGGATGGGTGAAATAGATGATGGAGGTTAAGAGTATACTTTTTTTTTAAGGGTTTATTTATATTTTGAGAGAGAGAGAGTATGTGGTGGGGAGGGTGGAGGGAGAGGGAGAGAGAATTTCAAGCAGACTCTGCACTGAGTGTGGAAGCAGTGGCTTGGTCACATGACTGTGAGATCAAGACCTGAACCACACCAAGTTGGATGCTCAACTGACTCTGCCACCCAGGCACTCCAAGAGTACATTTATCTTGATGAGCACTGAGTAATGTATAGAATTGTTGAATCACTATACTGTCTACCTGAAATTAGTGTAACATTGTTAAAACTATACTGGAATTAAAATGAAAATATAAATAAAATAAAATTGGCAAATGAGTCTTCACATACAGTTGGGATGCTTTTCAAAGGGCTGATTCTCCTCTCTTCCTCAAAAAAAAAAAAAATTAAATTAAAAAAAAAAAAAAAGGAAAAGTTATACCTGAGTGGCTCAGTCAGTTGAGCATCTAACTTCAGATCAGGTCATGATCTTGGGGTCCTGGGATCAGGCCTGGTTTGAACTCCCTGCTGAGGAGAGTTTTTTTCTTTTAAAGATTTATTTATTTATTTTGAGGGAGGGAGGAGCAAAGAAAGAGAGAGGGAGAGAGAAAATCTCAAGCAGACTCCCCACTGATCTCACAGCCCACTCACTGTGGGGCTCAGTCTCATGACCCTGAGATTATGATCCGAGCTGAAATTAAGAGTCCGGTGCTTAACTGACTGAGCCACCCAGGAGCTGCTGCATACAGCTCTTTAAGAGCCATTTCTCAGTGTGCCGCAGCCCTGTGGATCTTGTGGGCATGAGCCCCATTGGTCTTCAAAGCCACTTGTTTTAGGTTTTTCTCAGGTGTTGGTCTTAAATTTTGGCATGCCTGACATGGTGTACAAGCCCTTTAACACTCGGGGAATAAAAAAAAAATGAAATAAAAAAAACAAAAACAAAAAACACTCGGGGAATAGCTGTGGATTTCAAGTTTCCTCCCAAATGTGGGTTGCCACGCTGGAGATATGGGGTTTATGGTGAGATTGTCTCAGCCTTTCCTACCTGCTTTGATGTGGTTTGCCTCTCATTTGCTTGATGTGAAGTGGTTGCTCTGCTAGTTTTTAGTTTTTTTCCAGAGGAAATTGTTCCATATATAGCTGTCGTTTGAATGTGTCTGTGGGAGGATGTGAATTCAAGACTTTCTTACATTGCCATCCTGAACTAAAATCTGAACATAAAAGAATTTGATGAGAAAACACACTGGAGGTATTTACAGTGCTTATTTTAATAGCAAAATTTGAGCTTAGAGATAATGTTTGCATCTTCTAATTTTTGTCTTGTCTGCCCTGTGATATTTGATAAGGTAGTCAGATAGGACAGAATGTGCATTTGTTTCTTAATCCAGAGACCATATTGATATTCAGTTTTAGCAGTTTTAGAACATTTCTAGGCTTGTTTGATGGTCAGGTTTATTCACTTGGCTTTTTTTTAATATTTGAATATTCTGATAAGAGAAAAAATTAACACAGGATAAATTTAATGTTCAATAAATTATTGGGGCTTCTTTGCTTATTTTAAATTTCCACTCAAAAGTTTGAACAAGTAAAATCTAAGAAAGTTAAAATCTCTTCAATTAATTCTGCTTCCTTTCCCAACATATCTTCAACTGGGAGATCATTTATTTTGAGATATAGTCAACATAATGAAATTACAATGCACTGAACTAATGAGAAAATCTCAAGAGGTCTATTTCAGTGATCAAGTACAGTGGCCTATTGGAATGAAAAATCCTCAAATGAAGTCAACATCTAATATCTTAAAAGTAAAATCTCTAAAACTCACTTTAATCATTGTCTTATTTTTATCATTTGTACATCAGCATTGTTTATCTGCAAGGTAAAATTATTGCTTTTACTCTTTAGCATGTTTAAATACACACACACAACACACACACACACACGCACACACATAGAGAGAAATGGAGTGTGTTTAGTAGGGATCTAACCTAAAGTATACTACAGATACTGTATTACGTCTCCTTGACAATTATTTGTTGTATGGGAAAAAAATCTACTTAAATAAATGAATCATCATAGTTTGAGTACTTTGAGCTATTTGGTATCAATAAATGCAGAGTGTGAGTCTTGATAATGAAAGATTAAACTTAAAAGTCTCTACACAAACTGATCTTTCATAGAAATATTTTGTGATGATGTATTCTTGCTGGGTTTTCTTCCTTTCTTCTTTGGCCCTGGGCGTATTGCTTGGTTTTCATGGTTTTTATTTTGAAGACTAATGAATGTGTTTACCTTAAAGTTCCTATTTGAAGCTTCACAGAAATAAATGTGAAGAAAATATATTTTAGAAGTAGAGCTAATGTTTTTCAGGGAAAATAAAGTGTTTAGAATTTAACAGATTGGTAAAATAGTTTATATTAATTGTAGATAAAATTACTTAAATTGTTTAGAATATTAGATTTGGTGTTTCCATTTGAATGTAGTGAAAAGGGACCAAGAAATGGGCAAGGCACAGAATGATCACACAACATGATAGATAATTAATATAGAAGTCATTTTAATTATATCAAGATAAATTTGTTTACTGTGCTCTAAAAGGGGGAAAATGAGCAGTTTTTGGCTATGTTTAAACTGATGGGAAGAACCTGTTCCCAGTTAAGGCTCTGAGAACTTGTCCTTCATTTGAAGCCCAATTTAGATTGCTTCATGTCTTCTGTGTAGCCTGAGTCCCTAGATTGGTATAATTAGTTTTTTTCTATTTTAGCACGTTGCTTTTATCTCTCTCTCTCTCTCTCTCTCTCTCTCTCTCTTTTTGTACTCTCTTTACTACCTTGCCTTTTGTTAGAGTTAGTGGTATAGTAGAAAGAGCATAAACATTGTAATAAAAACCCAGTTTACACTCTCTGAGTGCTAGTTTACTCACTGTAGAATGGGGAGAGAAATAGGATTAATTTGGAAAGCATGAAGCAGGGATGCCTGGGTGGCTCAGTGGTTCATTGCCTGCCTGTCTGCCTTGGACTCAGGGCCTGATCCCAGGGTCCTGGGATCTCAGTCCCACATCAGGCTCCCTGCATGGAGCCTGCTTCTCCCTCTGCCTATGTCTCTGCCTCCGTCTCTGTGTCTCTATGAATAAATAAATAAAATCTTAAAAAAAAAAAAAAGCACAAAGTACCTGGCACTGAGCAGGCACTCAATAAATGTCAGCGTCTTTCCCATTTCTGAGTTTCATGTCTAGTTCCTTGTAGCTTGTAAGTTCCTTTAGGGCAGGAAATATGTTTTATATTTATAGTACCTTGTGCATAGTAGGTTCTAAAAGATTATTTGTTGAATTTAATTTACTGTAGCTGTGTAAGCTTAGCACTGTTATTTCCCATTTCTTTTTCCTCTGTCATTTTGGATTGAGATAAACATGTTGCTTTCATGAAATTGAGGATTTAATTCAATAGAATGCCATTATAATATGACTTATTCCATAGAGTTTGGATGGTAAGGGTCAAATCATTTCCCTGGAAACTTAATAATATTCTATAAAATCTTATTAGCCTGTCTCAAAGCATCATAGTCACAGTGGAATTCTGCTGTATTTAAGATGGTGAAGTTTCTATCTGTAGAAATCTGTCTAAAGGCACGCAGTGAGAATATGGGAAATAAATGACATGAAGAGAGAGCAAATGCAAATGTCATTGCTAGTGACATTACTTGACATTTTCAATCACTAATCTTCCAAAGTATGTTCTAATTTACTAAAATAAACCAAGAATTGAATTTCGTGTGAGCTCCCTTTGCTTAATTAATTATTAGCAGCACAATATTCTGTGATCTACTGCAATTTGTCTCCTTTGTGTTTATCTAGTATCTGACTTAAAAATGAGCAGAAGCATTCTGATTCAGCAGAACTGATTTTATAACTCATCTGTGTTATAGAGCAGAAATGAATAAATGTTTGCTGAACATGCTGCATATGCTTCGATCACCAAAATGTTAGTTTTCTTTTCTTCTCAAAATATAGTATCTGAGAGATCTTCCTGGCTGAAGTTTGTAGGGTGCTTATTTTGCATAGATATTTCTACCGAGGCAAGTAACTACCTTTACATGTATTTGCTTCCATGATTAGAATGTGAGCGCTCTAATACTTCCTTGTGATTTGAAGTTGTACATTCATCACAATTTTTTTTCTTAAAAGTGGCACTGTATTCTAAAACACAGATTTTTTTTTTCAAATGCAGTATGCTCTTTTGTTGGAATGAAGATTAAACATGCTTCCCATTCATATAATAATGTTGGTTTTACTTATAATACAGTTTCTAATTCTTTATAATCAGTCTTTCTTATTTCATTGAAAGGCAATTAGCATTTTTAAATCTCTATTATGAGTGAGAGAAACTGAGGCTCAGTGTGGACTATTTCTCTGTTTTGGGTAGTTAGGCATTTGAGAAAAATGTACTGCTATTCTAATTATTTTCCTTTGTTTTCAATTTCAGTTTCAAAGAACATTTGAATCTCTTAAAAATGTTTCCAATAAATCTGATCTCCAGAAAACCTACCAGAAACTTGGAAAGGAGCTGGAAAATCTGGATTATTTAGCCTTCAAACGTCAGCAGGTAGGAGACTCTCCTTGGTGGAGATGAACACTTTATGCTTCCTGCCATTCCTGCCTGTCGGGTTTAAGTGGATCTGGGGAGACTTATCTTCTAATATTTAGGGCAGAAATAGGTTGTGCCGTGCTGTGCTGACCTGCTGCATTCATACGGCTTCCTGAAGCATTCTTTGTGGTCCTTGTTTTTAGATGTGCATTTTGGGGGTTTCAACATGTGTCCTTATACTTATTTTAAAGAAAACTCCTGCTAGTTTGTGAAGATATAACTACACTTTGACTAAGGCTGCCTCAATGTCATAAAGGAAACCTCTGTGATGACTTGGCCAGATGGCTTTTACATTTGACAAGGGGATACTTGAGAAGAAAAACCACTTGATGGTCAGGAAAAGGATGTAGATGTACATAAAAATTAAGGGAAATAATCATGAATATGCCAAAATGAATCAATCTTTAGTTTTCTTGTTTGATTTCTGAAGGTTAGTGGAATTTTGCTAGATGTGTAAGGTTGAAGGAAAATATGCTTTACAAATGCAGGTATTTTAGCTTCCTTGTATAGATCTCCAAATAAATAAAGAGCAAAATATACTTTTATAGTGTTGCTTTCTGAAATATTATTTTTAAAAAATATTAGTAATCATTAAATTTTATGTGTTTGTGAGATACTGCCACAGTAACTAGCTCGCTAATTTTCCCAAGCTGATCATCACTATTTTCTTCACAGCCACTAGGTGTCAGGGTTGTCAAGCTTTTACCTTGATAGAATGTTTATTCCGATCAGAACAGCCAGATAGACGTTTAAATTAGGTTGCATAAAATTCGGGAATGTGTTCAATGATGGATAGCGTCTAGAAAAATGACTAAGTGGCTGACTCGCATGGCCAGGCACTGAGTCCATTATTTAAGTCTTTCCTGTTAGCGTGGCAATAGGTGTGACTCTCTTGCCATTGCCTAATTCACAGATTTTGAATCTTTTGGACAGTTTTCAAAGCTAGGCTTCTTTTTTTTAGTTACACCTTAGAACATTACTGTCATATGATCTAGAAATATTGACTTGAAAAGAGAATTTTGTTCTAGGTTTTGCTTTATCACCGATATTACATGAGCATTTTAGCCTTCCCATTGCCTTATTTTCCTATGAGTTATGTTTGTTTTGTAGAATGTTCTGGGGTAGATGGAGTATCTCTGCATGTACATATGAAAAAGGTTTATATGAAAAAGGACACAGTATCCATTTAAGTTTTATTATTTTAAAATTAGTGATGGCTTCTGTTATTAGCACATGTAACAGAAGTGGCCACAGCTCCAGAGAGCTACTACAGAAATCTTCCAAGTGGTGCTACTTAAAATTCACACTATAAGTCACTGCTCTGGCCTATGCAATTTTTAGTACAGTTTTGTTTCCAAAAGCCATATTTTACCACTGAGGGATATTTGAGTTGGCAGGCCATAGTCACTGTCTTCTTCTCTTTCTTTCTTATTAGCATATTTTCATTGATTAGATTCTTACATTAGCTACTTGTGAATTTGGAAAAATGCGAATGCTTGAAGGGCAGAAGGGCAGGACTCTGCCCGAATGGCATGGAGGACAGATAAGTAAATTGCATGTGTATATGAAGAAAAGATGGGCGCATGGGATATAAATGTAGGTACATTTGTGTATATATAAATGATATATACTATTTATTAAATGGCAATTATTACCACACATTGTGATTAATACATTTATGGATCAGATTATCACATGTTGATAACAATATAATGTGGCTGGTTTTATGAGCACCGTTTTTAAGGTGAGAAAACTGTTAAGAGAGTTAAATAACTTGTCTAAGGTTACTGAGCTAATAAGACATAAAGATGGGTTTCAAATCTAAATCAGTCTGACTCCGGGCCTGGACATTTGCCCGGTCTCATTCCTAGCATCCCTGTAGGGAGCCAAGCTCAGGAGATAGGAAAGTGAGGAGGTCTAGGCATGTAGTGTGAAGGCAACTTGAGGGATTCTAGGCCAAGGGCTTAAGGAGACTTTTGAAAGTGGGTACCTTGTGAGAGGCAAAACAGGGCCGGTTCTCTCTCCATCTCTCTTTCTCTCATGCAAATTGTTCAATATACACAAAAACATAAAAGGATTTTTGAAAGAATATTTTTAAACAGCTAAGAAAATGCGTAAAACTTTGTCTTCACAATCTTCTGAGTGTTATGTCTAGTAACCATGGTTCTAGTGAAACTTACTGACACAAGGCAGTGTTTTAAGCTCAAAGGGACAAATCCTCATGAAATGAATGTAACTGCACACATAACATACTGTCAACCCTTTTGTATTACACAACTCCAGCTCTCCCTCTCTAATGACCATTTTTTTCTACTTGGAGAAGATAGAAAGGGAATCAGAAGGAGGTAGAAAGGGTGGTACAGTAGAGAAAAAGTCAGAGACTAAAGAGGGATGAAAAAAAGGGAAAGGAACTTACAGGGATATGACAAGAGAGATCAAGTGAGAGAAATTAAACTGTACTTGGTTTTATACTGTGTACCCTTCACTTTATTGTCCCCCCTGCCTGGCTCCCTGAAGGGATATTAAGAATGAGACCAGGGAAAATAGTATAGTAAATGCAAACATTGATTTTTGAAGAATTTTTAAAAATCTCAAAATAGAAAAAGAGGTAGGAAAAAAGGAGAGGAATACAAGAAGACACAGCACATGAGGGAGATGGCAGGAAATAGCAAAGAAAAATTTTGTTTACTTCCCATTTTGCTTCCAAATGTAGCAGAGCTTCCTAGAAATTTGTAGTATTAACCAAGTTCTATACCAAGCTACAGAAGAATTCTTGTGAATTAGGATGGACAGTGTTCAAAGAGTCCGAACACTGTCAACTCTCCTCTGACTTAACAGGATTTGCCTTTTGTCTCCAACTCCACCCCTTAAAAGACCTCCAAACCTATTACACAAGTCTAAATTTCTCCTACTGGAAAAAATTCAGGTCTCTGTAAAATTGCAATTCAGCAAGAAAGATTTTGCCTTATAAGGCAGGATTCTTTGTACCAGAGAATTAGTCATGGTTTGTTCCCTGGTCCAACCGTATTTATCATTCCTCTTTGTGACAGCACCTAGCTCCATAAGAACAGAGCCTCGTCTGTCATCTTCAATGCTGTGTTCTCTGCAATGTTCACAATAGTATCTGACCCATGGCAAATGTTCAATAAATACTTGTTGGTGCTATTGTTACTATGAACAAGGAAGCCCTAACATCATTTTCCATCCATTTCATTAAACAAGAACAAAATGTTAATATTACCTTAACTATGAATTATGGATGACCAATGAATTGATTATAATTATTTTCTTGGACTCATTCATTAGATTTTATTTTCTGTTCCTTTCTATGACATTTTAAGCATTATTTTGAGAGATTCCAACCCCCCCCCCCCCCCCCCCCGGGCCAGAGAGATCCCTGGAGTACTTTGCTCTAATCTTTTTTACCTTTCTTTTTTGGAGTTGTTGTACTTTCTCTCTTAAGTGTGAGCTTAGCTATTTCTTTTCTTTCTTTCTTTCTTTCTTTCTTTTTTTTTTAGTGAGTGCTTATACCTCAACAATTCCTTGGGCTATATTTTAAGTTGGGGCACAAGCATCTCTCCATTTTCCTACTGTCAAAAAGACTAATGTTGAAAATAGCTTTGGTTGGAAAAGGTAAGAGGAGCTCTGATAGATGAGGTGATGGGTTTTCTAGGATGAATCAGCCTGAAAGTAACCAGATGACAAAGCAAGATTAGCCTGAGAATCTGGAGCCTTTTTCAGTTTTTACTATCTGGAGATCTTGGCATTTATCTGCTTTGACTATTTGGTTTTTATCTTCCTGGTTAATGTTACATAGGAATGGCAATAGTAAGCTTCAGTTATTATATGGAGCCCAGATTTATGTATTAATTTGAGAGGTTATAAAATTTGGCAGAACATTGGTTATAAATCAAATTTCAGCTCGTGTAATAATTACATCCTATATACCTAAATTTCCCTCGTGGTTCCGGGTGGTATTGTTCAAAACAATATTGTTCTCTCTTTAGTGATAATGTTCGAGAATGAACCACAGCTCTTTTCTTTTACTGAGCAGAGTAATCCCTTCAGATAACTCCCATACCAGGAGGGTACATAATACTTTGTAGGATAAGAATTGCATTTAAAATGATGCCTTATCAATGAGGAAAAATAGAAATAAATTAGAAAAAAATTATTTAATAAGAATGACTGTAGGTTAACACCCTGGCATTGAAAAATAAAATCCATATGGATAATGACTTACCACCTTAGAGAATGATCCTAAGCTTATCTTGGAATTCAAGGACTCTAAGGACACAAGACAACAGTGGTCTTCTGAAATTAATGCTTAGCAAGACAAAACTGAACAGTGTTAGGTTGTTGTTGTTGTACTATAACATATAGAGAAGAGGAAGTTGATGAATCTCAGTAGTTGTCTTCAGCAGTGTAAAGACCTATGGCAATAAAAATGTTATAGATAATTTAGGATAAGTGATATGCAATGATACTGCACTAAGAGTTGCTTATCTATAAGGACAATATAATGTAGACTAACTTCCCGTCACATTAACACTAAAATGGAAGTTGTAAATATGTTTTACTTAAACTTTAAAAAAAGAACTGGAGGGTATTATACTGAGTGAAATAAGTCAATTGGAGAAGGACAAACATATGGTCTCATTCTGGGGAATATAAAAAATAGTGAAAGGGAATAAAGGGAAAAGGAGAAAAATGAGTGGGAAATATCAGAAAGGGAGACAGAACATGAGAGACTCCTAACTCTGGAAAACAAACTAGGGGTGGTGGAAGGGGAGGTGGGTGGGGGGTGGGGGTGACTGGGTGATGGGCACTGAGGGGGGCACTTGATGGGATGAGAACTGGGTGTTATTCTATATGTTGGCAAATTGAACACCAATAAAAAATAAGTTTATATATAAAAAAATAAAGTACCTATGTATTTGGAATGATTCAGATGCAGG